TTCTTTTTGTGCATGCCTTGGAGCATGTACATTTATTACCTTGGTGTATCTACATTGGGGTACACATTGACTACTGCCTGTACCGTTGTAAATGAAAATAGATAAGGCTTTTCCTTTAGAATTTATATTCTTTTGGGGGCAGAGTAGCAGATAAATATAAAACTATAGGTTTGGAAGTGCTGTAAGATAGAGGTATGGGATACCATAGGGGGATTTCTCCTAGGCAAGATGGCCTGGGGAGATTTCCTGAAGAGATGCTTGAGTTGAAAGAGAAGTATGTGGGAACTTTTATAATGTGACTGTGATGTAGTAGATTGTTTTGCAGTACATGAGTACATGGTGTCTTTCTTTTCCTCCCTCCCTCCCTTATTGTAGTGCTAGAGATCAAATCCAGGGCTTCATGCACTCTACCACTGAGCTACATCCCAAGCCCCGTCTCTCTTAATTTAGAAGGTTTTCCTATGTGGCTGAGGTTCCACTGCATTTCTTTGGATTTCTGAGTGATGTTCTGAGTTAGTTGCAGTGTTTCAGAGGAATTTTAGGGAACTTAACACACACAGAAGTTTCTAAATCTTACCCTGATTTTCTCCCTAGCACTGAACTCATTTTTCTAAGAAGTGACAGAAGACATCAGTCAGAAGTGTATTATCACATTCTATCTTCATGAACCAACAGCAAGCTAAAGAATGCCGATAGCAGGTAATGGTTCTTGGTTTCTAACTCCCTCTGGCTTCCATGTTCCTGTCTGCTCAGTTACTGACCCTTTGCTTGCCTGTACTTTTCTCTTTCTCTGTTTTAATGTTTTACGTCTGTTGGATATCATTTGGAAATAAATCTAGGAATTAAGTGATACCCTAAATGGCATATGAAATTGTGTGTATGTGTATCGGGGAGTATATACCCATTTCTGAGTGTGTGGAGGCCAGAGACCAACACTGGGCATTTTCTTGCTTTCCACCTTATTTTTTGAGGAAGAGTCTCAGCGAGCTTCCAGGATCCTATTCTCTTTGCCTCCCAGAACTAGGATTACAGGCATGTGCTACTGAGTCCAGCTTTTTGCATGGGTGCTGAGGATCTGAATTGAAGTCATCATACTTAATGGCAAGCCCTTTACCCACCGAGCCATCTCTCCAGCCCTGGAGCTCTTTATAACACCTGTAGTTCTTTCCATCTCTTACTGTCTAAGGTCTTTAAGGTTATGAGGAATGACTTATTTTTCAAGTTCGAGTTTTTTAAAAAAATACTTAAATTTTATGTATATGAATGTTTTTATTTTGCCTGCATGTATATAAATGCACCATGTGTGTGCCATGCCCATGGAGGCCAGAAGAGAAAGTCAGAGATCCCCTGGAACTAGAGTTACAGATGGTGGTTAGTTGCCATTTGTGTACTGGGAACTGAACTGGTGTCCTCTGCAAGAGCAGCCCATCCTCTAACCACTGAGCCATCTGTCCAGCTCCCAAGTCTGAGTTCTTAGCATGAAGTATTCCTGGCATGTAGTAGGCATTCCATAAACTTGAAAAAAATCATATATACTGTTACAGGTTCGGCCCTCATGTCTATTCGTATGATCCTCCAAATACACACATTTTCCCCATCTCTTGAGCTTTAATTTCGCATCTTCTTGGATGTGTGTTAGTGCTTGTTTTATGCCCCTCCACTGTCACCTTCTTGTTTCATTTTGGCTAAAAACATAATTCCCCTTATTTGGTAAGTGACGCCTTTATTCTTTTGGCTTTTAAAACTTTGCTTTCTAATTTGCCTCATTTTATTCAGTAGGAACTCATTACCAAGTTCTGTTGATTATCTGTAATGCCCTTCTTCCTTCCATCATTATTGATCTATATATGACTATCCCAGTCAGCTCTCTATTTCTGTGATAAAACACTGACCCAAACCACCTTGGGGAGGAAAGGGTTTATTTCAGCTTACAGTATAGTTCTATATCCATGGAAGCAAGGGCAGAATCCTGGACAGGAACCTGGAGGTAGGAGCCAAAGCAGAGACCACAGAGGAACGCTGCTAACTGGCTTTGCTCCTCTGGTTCATGCTCAGCTGCTTGATTATACAACCCTGCCCCCAGCCCCCCCCCCACCAGCTGGGCTCTCCCACATCACTCAACAATCAAGATGCCCACAGGCCAATCCAATAGAGGAAATTCCCCAATTGAGGTGCCCTCTTCCCAAGTGTGTCATTGACAACTGAAGCTGTTCAGCACAACTGCTATATTTTCCATTTACCTCTTTGTCCGTCTAGTTTCTTAATTGGTCATGTGTTGCCTTTTTTGTCCTCTTGAAGTGTGTCTTTGCTGAGAGTCTAGAACCTCACATTGCAAGGAGGGTTGCCGTGGCATTGTGGTTCTTTGGTCCTGGTACCGTCTTCCTTGGTGGGGTTTTCTGTGCTGGTGTCTTTCTCTTGGGGCTCACAGTCAGGATGGCTTGTCTTACCCAGCTTCCATTTGTCTTAGAGAGTCTTGATTTCCTTGTTCTTGTCATTTCTTTTAACCAAGTAGATTGTGGCTTATAGATTGTCATGTTCCTTTTTGGTATTTAGTATTTGGTACTCAGTCACTCAGAGTTTGTGCTAATATGGTCATCCATGCTTCATCTTAAACACTTTGTATTCAGTTCTCCCCAGTTGGAGACAGAACATGGAAATTTATCTGAGCTACATAATTTGGTCAGACTTTGGCCGTTTGAAGTACAGTTAGTTCTTTCTTAAGCAGTCTTATTTGCAGACAGAATAGTTTCCTTTTTTTTCCCTTCCGACGTACAGTTTTAATGCTACAGTTCCTCTTTCCGTTTGTTCCATTCATGGTCTCCTAAATAGATGAGAGTTTTTAAGTGTTTGAGCACTTAACATTTAATTTTATTTGTTCATACTGTAGTGTTGATGAGAATTGATCAGTTCACCTAACACAGATTTCCCTCTGTTTTTCCTAGTGATTATAAGTTTGGTTTTTAAGCTAGAGGCAGAGCTTCCTTAAAAGATGTCTTGGACACCAATCAGTTTAGTTATATTTTTTCTTGTATTTTGTTCTTGGTTAGTCTATTATGAATTAATGTAACATGACTTTACTTTTTTTATTATTTTTATTTTGTGTGTATGAGTGTTATGCCTGACTTTTTATTAAAAAAAAGACTCAATTTGGCACTCTGTTCCAAAGATTGGTTTAATATGACTTCATGGCAAAAAGAGAAAGCAAAATCTTAAGTGGACTGGAGAGCTGGTGCAGCTGTTAAAGGCTTAGACTCACAACCAAAAAGACAAAAGAAAGCAGAATCTGTCTTCTATCCTTGATTATGCCATAGAAATGATACATGTAGGAATAGTTATTTATTTTGGTGTGTGTGAATGTATGAATGTCTTCATGTGTGTGCAGGTGTGCATGTGCGTGCAAACGTGGAGGCCAAAGGCATCTGATTACTCTGCACCTGAGACATGCTCACTTATTGAATCTGGAGTTCATTGTGGCTCGATTGGCTGGCCTAGGAATTCTCCTGCTCTCACTGCTGGGGTTCCAGGTGCCCAGCACCATTGTTGGTATGGGTGGGGCAGATCCAAGCTCAGGTCCTTATCTTTGTGTAGCAAACTTTTTACCAACTGAGCATCTCCTAACTCCTGAAATAGCATGTTATGGATGCTATTTATCACAAAATAATATAATGTGAGGGTTATGTTCTTTGGAGTCTGTTGGTTTTAGGGTTTTCTTTTTTCTTTTTCTTTTTTTTTTTTGAGACAGGGTCTCCCTGTTATCCCCAGCTGGCTTGGAACTTGTTATGTAGACCAGGCTGGCCTCAATCTCACAGAGATCCACCTGCCTCTGTGTCCCGGGTGCTGGAATTAAAGCTGTGGTGGAACATGCCTCGCCCATTTTTCGGGTTTTCTTAAGAGCTAAATATATTACCTCCACTAAAGCCAGCTTTATCGAAGGCATTGTTTTACATGTGTGGGCCCTAATCGCATCTTCTGTTTGACATAGAGAACTTAGCCGTGAGCAGACCTGTGGCACCTGAAAGTTCCAAAGATACAAATTAGTCTTCTATGCTGATTGAGTTCTTTTTGAGACTAAAGGAAAGCCTCATTAGATGGTTTATTGGGTAGTAACCAAGCTTTTGTAAACTGGTAGTATTCTTGGAGAAGCCAGGAGCAGTGCAGGAAGGAGAGGCAGAAAGAGTGAAATGGATGAGAACAGAGCAGACAACAAGCATGGCAGGAAGATGAGCATCAGAAAGGATTTGAGGGGCAGAAAGGGAAGTCTGCTGTTTCTTCTGATGTGCATGGTTTTCATCTCAACATCCCTAAAATTGGGTGTCTTCGAATCAGTGCTTTTGGTCAGGTGGCAGTTTGGGTTGGAACTGTCGCTGTAACACGTGTTACTGCTTCTGTTGCTGTCATCTGAGTCTCCTTGTGCTCATTATAACTACTCATGATAAGTGATTGCCACTAAAGTCTTTGTTTAGTTATTGTTTACAGTTTCTCGTTTATGCTCCCTAGCGAGATCAAGGATGCATTGGCATCCCAGCTTGCAGTTTGTATGTCAGTGACTTGAAAGCTAGGTTGTCCTGTTAGGTTGGAATACAGTTAAGACCTAGAATCTTGATGTTAGATGACATAGTATGAAACCAAAAAGTTAGATAAAAAAAATTATGTGCTCATTTGCACCTTTTTCTTAATGCACCTTGTAAAGAAGTAGTCTATGCTCACTAATATATATCAAAATCTTCATGATTATTAAAAGATGAATAATTAGGTTTCATTTTCTGTGTATACACTAAATACTAGTTAAGCATTTATCTCAGGTAATTTTCAGAGTTTCGAGCTGTGATATTCATTATACACAGTAAAAAAAAGGAAATTTTTAGGTCATAAGTGTTAGATCCAGAACTTGAGTTCAAGTTCATTAGATTTCAAATCTGATGTTGTTTTGTTTGTTTTGTTTTTTTTTGGGGGGGGGTCTTTCTGAGACAGGGTCTCCCTGTAGCCCCAGCTGCCCTAGAACCCACTATGTAGACCAGGCTGGCCTTGAACTCACAGATCCACCTGCCTCTGCCTCCCAGGTACTTGGAGTGCCACCACGCCTAGCTCCAATCTGATGTTTTTGATGTGTTATAATTACATTAGTACCTTCGTGTTTGTAGCCAGTTTTCATGTTTTGCAAACTGAACTGACTTGTACTTTCTCATCTTCGTTGATAAGCTTCCAGCTTTGCTCATAAAAGCTTTTACTCTTAAGCTGGAGCTGAGACCTCTTGTCTCATCTCCTTTCACCTCAGCATGCCATCCCTGCTTCTTCATGACATTCTTTGCCTGCTTAGGGCGGCTTCATTTTCCACTATATCTTATGGATGGGTATCAACACAATAGCTTTTTGGAATTGAAGGCCTGGGTTTAATTTATATTTCAGTCGTTTAGTATGCAGCTTACTGCTCCCCCAGACTTTGTAGGCACTCAGTCAATATGCACTGTATAATGAAAGCTAGGCTGTAGGCCTGGGTTTAAATTAACACTGGGTATGTATATCTGTGTCTCTGTAGACTAAAGGCCTCAGAGTAAGGAGAAAGACAATCTTTTATTATTTATAGCAACCCCTTTTAAACATGAGGTCAGGTAACCACTGGATTGAGGTGAGACATATTCATTGACAGGGGAACCAATCGTGTGTTCTCAAGGTTAGAACTTTCAGCTCCCTTCCCACCC